AAGCAGTGGTATCAACGCAGAGTACTGTATTCCCTCTTCATGATAAAAAATCAGATTGTCGTGTCAATTTTTCTCAAAATCTTTGGATGAATCTGATATGATTTCATCTACAGAAACAAATTTTCTTTCATCAGTGAAATAAAAGTAGGAAGGAATCTTATCTTGAACATTAAACACCTGAGCAACAATTTTTGCATATTCTGTTACTTGCTGATAATACTGTTCCCTAAGTTTTGATTTCAAATCAGATAATTTTCCGGTTTTGAAATCAAAGATACGATATGACCCGTCGGTATACTTAACGACAACATCAGGGCGACGACACTCACTTGATTCGGTAATTATCTCGAGTTCGTACCAGACATTCATCCTGTTCTGCATCAATGAATGGGATTCAAAATATTCTTTGGATTCGAGAATCTTTGGAATTTCATCCGGCGAAACGTCATATTCACGACACGCTTCGATTGCATTTTGACCTTCAAAAATGGCATGCACACACAATCCGCGAGAAAATTCCTTTGTCTCTTCATTATTTTTTATCAATCGTATATTCATCGATCGACGGGGTACATGCATGAAGACGTTCTACCATTCGAGCATGATGATCGCGAATCTTGTCACAATCTGTCTGAACCACGGGGGGATTACAAACGGTCGCTGATACTAAATCAGCCTCGACACCGTTATGATTACCTTCATAAAAAGAGAAAAATGAATTCTCGGCAGCCTTATTTCCAGTCGATGAAAGAACCAAATGATCCCGCGGTCGGGTCATCCCGACATAGAACAACCTGCGTTCTCCGGCTTCAGCATCGGGTCTATTTGCTTTCTCTATCAAATCGGAAAGGAATCCAAACAGGTTAAGATCACTATGAACTGGATCCTTCAACTGTTTAAACCCGCAATGGTAGTATGGATGAATCAATGTGGTATCATGATGTGCAATTCCGGACGTTCCGGAATTATAGAGGATAACGACCGGAAATTCAAGACCTTTAGAGACATGACAGGTCATAATTCCCACCCGATCTTCGCTGTCAAGCCCGGCATCGGACGCCCCCGATATCATTGTCGTCAATATCTTTTTCCAGACAGATATCGACGGTTCTCAGGAACGAATACAGCGAAACTCCGTCTGCAACCTGCAATGACGATGCCAAATCCAGAAACTTCCGCAAATTCCGAATCTTTTCCATTGCATTTGGATCTGCACCGTAAACCGACAAAATACCCGTTTTACGAACAATGGTTTCGGAGAAATGTCGGCATCTGTTCATAACAGGCAACCTCCCTGAACATCGACAGTTTTCCCAGCGCTTCGGCAATTTCAGCATTTTTCGTCTTAGATAACCGATTCCAGAGTGATTGCGATTCGTTTCCGGTCTCTGCAAGAACCGTCGCCAGCAGTTCATCGGAAATCCCGAAATAGGGAGAAATCAGTGCACCGTATAAAGCGATATCATCATTACGATATACTGAAGCCTTGATTACATTCAACAGATCGACAATTTCCGGTTCTTTGAATAATCCGGATCCTTTATGAACATGATACGGGATTCCATACTCCTTGAATGCGGCAATCAAATGCGTAAGAGAACTTTTCTTGCGGATGAGAACGGTAAAATCACGATAGGTCGCCGGACGGGTAATCTCTCCGGAATCGCAAACCATGAGAGATCCGGCAGATACCTTCGAATAAATCCAGGACGCAAGAATTTTCGCTTCTTCTCCCTTTTCTTCCGAAGTATGAATCCTGGTAAATGTTCCCACTGAAGTCTGACGATTTGCCTGAATCTGAGGATACTGAATATCATCCTCAGGATATGACCTGAACAGTTGGGTAAATACCTTATTGATGACATCATTGATTAGATAGGGAACGGTACGGTAATTGACATCAAGTTCGACCTGTATTGAAAACTCGGATATCAATTTTTTAAATTCATCCGGTTTTGCACCACGGAACTGATAAATTGCCTGTTTCATATCTCCAACGATAAACAGTTTTATTGCCGGATTGCGGATTTCCGGCAAGTTTTCTAACCAGTTTTGTTAATACCGCATCGTTATCCTGAACTTCGTCAACCAGCAGAAACTTATATCGTTTCTTCAGTTCATCGACAATGTTCTGATTGGTATCAAACATACGTTCGACATACCGTATCAAATCATTAAAGTCCAAAAATCCGCCGTCTTTTTTACGCTGGACGATAACCGAATAAACATGTCGGGTAATCCGCCCAGCCGCTTGCATAATTGCAATCATCAACTGTCGGCGAGGATCAGTTTTCTCAAAGGGAAGACAACTGGAAATAACGTGGGATTTCTTAACGACAGAGATATAATATTTGTCAAGTCCGTCATAGATTTTACCGGTTGGAATCTTGGTCTGCTGGGAAAACGCAAGAAGCGACCGGTATTTTTCTTCATATGTCGAGGCATCCTTAACCGTCTGATACACAGATTTGAGACGTTCGAGATTTTCACGGGATTTCTTATTTGAATTTTCTATAGCATGGTATTTCTTCAGTTCCCCATCGGAAACTATCCATTTCCTTACCTCTTCGACAATTTCTTTTTTCCATTCTTCCCACTGTTCCGAGACGATTTCCGGATTATTTTCAAGGTCGTCAAACCATGATGCATGCTCCGTCCAGACATTATAAAACTTTTCTATCGCCGATAGGACATCTTTGCGGGATAAATGGGATAACAGCAAGGTAACATCTTCATAGAGTGTTTCATCCGGCTGGTTCAGGGTTTCATCAATGGTATCGGTTACCAGTTCCTGCGTTGCCAGAGCATCCATAATGGCATAACGAATAGGAACACCCGCTTCCATCGGAAACTCATGAAGAAGCGCGGAACAGAATCCGTGGAATGTACTTATCGTACACTGATGAATGGATTCCAAAGCTTTTGTTACCGGGTTTTCCCGAGCTTCTTCCTCGGTCATTCCTTTCGCAGTACGGCTCATTATTTCATTATCCGACTGGTTACGCAGTTCTTTCTCGATTTTTTCCCGCATTTCAGCAGCAGCCTTTTCGGAATACGTCAGACAAAGAATATCACGCGGAAAAGCTTTCCCCGACTTCAAAAGTTTAGCAACCCTATTCTGCAGCAGGAACGTTTTTCCAGTTCCGGCACTGGCGCTGACACCGACACTGTGATTAATATCAAGTGCTCTCTGCTGACATGCGGTAAACGTGACCTCTTTCATTCCTCCTCACCTCCGGATACGACAGCAGAGGGATTCAATGACGTAGAGGGAACCCGACAAATATCGGAAAACGGACAGTATTTACAGTTTTTATCTGGAGAATACACATCAAGACGGTTACATCTGCCTGTTGCCATTCCCTCATGTGCATCCTTTACTAGGGAAAATACTCGTTCCATTAACTGGGTATCTTCTTCCTTCTTCAAATTCGGCTTCAGCATCAAGCCCTTCGATGACATATCTTTTCCGGGATCCTTAAGCAACAGCAGATAATATCCAATTTCCGAATCAAGGTCGGGATGTTCGGCGGCAAATGCCGCCGTATACAGGGGAATCTGAACGGCGGTTGCACGTTTTTTATCAATCGCTTTTCCGGTCTTGTAATCAATTATTCGGAACGTTCCGGTCTTTCGGTTCACCATTATTCGGTCGACCATCCCACCGATACGAATTGTCATATCGCCATACGTTATAGGAATGCCAGTTTCACGATCAAGTTCATATTCGGTCATAGGTTCCGTCGTTTCCCATCCATCACGGGCATTCTGAATTTCATGTTCCAGAAACGTGCGGAATACCGACGGTCGTCCGGGAATTTCACCAAGATACTTGCGACGGGTAACCTCCCATGATGGTGATGAAATACTCTGTTCTTCATCGAAGGCGGCACGGATTTCCGCTATGAGCGTAGCATAGAGTGTGTCGAAATCCCCTGATTTCAGGTCTTCGCACGATACTCGGGAAAAGAAACGTTTCAGTGCCCGGTGAATAGCATTTCCGGTTTCCAGCGGTTCAGAATGGGTTTCCTGCGGATTTTGCAGATGCAGATATTTGGATAGATACCAGCGGTACGGACAGGATATATACAGTTCGAGTTCCGTCGGATAGAATACCCGGGTATCCGTTCCATATTCTGCAGCAAACGTACTTGCGACCGGAGATTCACTGAAATCTGAAAAATAACCCCATGATTCACGTTCAATACGTACCGCAAGCGTATCCAGTCCTTCCACTCCCGGAAGAAGCGGAGGTTCATCGGCCTCTGTTTTCGCCATGAAGGTACCTGCTGTTATCTGGTTGTACCAGATAGAATGACGTGGTGCAGGATTCTCCAGATAATCCACCGGTTCTCCGATACGCGTCAGATACGAGGACGGAGATGTCGCGGAGGTTCCACTGGCTCGGTGACATGAGAGATACAGCGTGCGGGTAGCCGTCTGCAGTGCTGATGCGAACCATGACTGCTGTTCTTCTATCTGGCGGTCGATAAAACTAAACGGTGTTCCATCCGGAAGACGACAGAGATCAGCGGTTTCTTTCTGAGAAAACGGGGGGATGACAGAGACGATTCGGGGTAAGCATTTCTCAGTAAGTCCAACAATAAAGACATAGGGAACGCGCAGATCATCAGCTTCCGATAGCGAAACCAGACGAATTCCATGACTGAATTTACCTTCTTCACGCCGATCACCGGCAAACGCGTCAAGCGCCGCAGAAAACTCCAAAAGGGTACAGGTAAATTCTCCCGTCGGCGGTTTTGAAATACTGTCAAGATACCCGATAAATATCCTCCGCAATGCAAGGTCACGCGGATGAGCCCGGCAGGTCAGCCATCCGGAGGATTGAAGCCATGACTTCAGATGGGATGCACGTTCGGCATAGGTTTGCCGTTCCGCTGAAGAAGCAATTCCATCAATCCATTCAATGAGTGCTTTCAGTTTTTTCGCGCTGTGATGAGAGGAACGATGTTGACCGAGACGATGTATAGCCGACATCCATCCGCTTTTCTTTTCGGTAACATTGGCAAGAATCGAGATTCTATGCAGTTCGCCAACCGACATCCATTCATCTTTTCTCTCATCCGGACAGACAAACCGGCTAGACGCCACAACGGTTTCCAAATCTTCAAGTTTATACCCGCTTCGTATAGCCAACAATGCCGCCAGAACGCACTGTATCATCGGATATGAACGAAGCGGTTGCGGCAAGGGGGTACACTGCAGTGGCATCCACTGGTCTTCTGTCTCTGCGTCAGTTGCCTTGGCCTTATAGTAGAAATCGTCAATTACATTCGAGATGATATCAGCCGTTTCCGTGACCGATGGTGAAAGAATAAGAATATCTTCCGGTGAACATCCCTCATCCAGGAGCTGACAACATTGATCGAGAACCATTTCAATTTCATCGCGTGCCGTCTTGTAATTCCAGATGGTGGGGCAAAGAGTTGGAGGAGCCGTCAACGGGTATTCCGGCCGAACAAACTCGGAAACTTCCGCTTTACTGCGGATAGCATCAAGGAATCGTCGAATCAGCGGTTCACGAGTATCCAGATGATAAAACACCGCATACTTTATCGGAACCGTTCCCGCTTCTATCAGTTCAATTGCCCGTTCATAGACACGTGCCAACGGAAGAATGTCAGAACCACATGACTGCTCATATTGGGTAAAGATATCATGAAGAATCTGATGCTTTTTCGAACACGTACAATACGGTTCGAGCGATATCTGATTTTTCACAAAGAAGGAATACTGCGTTATCAAATCGGACGTGAACGAAAATGATCCCGTCCCCGAATTCCACCGTGATTCGCTAACGGCACGATGCATGGTAAGCACCTGTTCATCAGTTGTCAGCGTGCGAACATGTCCGTAGGTTTCAACAACATGAATGGCAAAATTGATCAGAGTGGTCAGATGCGAGGAAACCATCGAAGTCTTCAGCGTTGAAAGAACCGATTGACGGGCAGAATTGGAGGAAATAAAAAAATAAACGGATTCGGGAGAGAAACGACGACGATTTTCTTCCCAGACTTTTTTCATTTCTTCCTGAGATTGGCTATATTCAGTATTCATTAACAGATAATAGGCAGTGGAACTAAATAAAGATAGGAGACTGAATATCCATCCAAAAAAAAACGTCGAAGTCCCTCTTATTTTATTGTCGCCCGAAAGAGTGTTGATATGCACGAATGGACAGGTATGTCTTAACTAGAACGGTATGCAGTAGGGTTCCGAACGTTTGGACAGTTAAGGCCAACTTACTACGGAAAGCAATTTCATAACGAAGACAGAGACATAATCTCTGAATGCTGGTGCATTATCAATTGCCGAATTGAATTTCGAGAATCCATCAGACATGAAAAACAGAACTCATTTCATGGGACGGTATAAACTTGCCTGTGGTCATTGAATTGGGTAATTGAATGCAAACTCGAATCGTTAAGGCAATCGAACGAAGAAAAGGATGGTTGGACAGCATCGTACTTCCATCATGTCCGATGAATCTTCAGATACAAATCATTAATCATCTCTAACACCAAAATAGAAAGAACATGTCAAATTTACTGAGTGATACCGATTCCGGCAAACATAGGAGTATCAGCACCATATCTGAACTCATTGGCGTTTCCTGTGATACTCTTCATGAAATCGCCAGAGATTTCTCTGAAATTCTTCCCGGAAAAGTTCTCGGCCGTATCCATGTGTACGATGACGCGATTGTCGAACGGTTTCGTAAAATTGCCGATTTACTCAAACAGGGATGTTCACGAGAGGTCATCATCTCAGCAATTTGCGGAGGAAAGACTCTTGAAGATCGTGCTGCGGAAGAGATGAAACGATTTGGAATCGAAAACAAACCGGCAACGAAACGATCGAAAGAGATTCAGAAAAAGCAAACTGAAACCCCCAATACGCAAACCGAAGAAGAAATATTACGTGCAATCCACTCCATTGACCAGAAGATAACCGCAATGGATCAGCGGTCTGCAGCGATACGTGACAGCAGTGAGAATAATTTCAAACAGATAATGGACGCAATCTCCACGCTGAATCGGAATTTAGAATCCCTGAAAACGGAATGCAATACCCTTTGGAATCAGGTTGCTGAACTTGAAGAATATTTACAGAAACAGGCAGAAGAAAATAAACCATTCTGGAAACGATTCCACAAAACCAAAAAATGATAACCTATCCGAAAAGTTCGAAATACCATCAACGTATCAAAGGAAAAATTATGGGTCCAAACCCCCTTAAACTTACTGAAGAACTGTTATCCTACATTTCTCTCCCCAAAAACAGTACGGTTCTCGATTTAGGGTCGGGACTGGGAATTACCTCGGTATTTCTTGCTAAAGAATATGATTTGAACGTAACAGCCGCAGATCTCTGGAGCAATCCTGACGAGAATCAGGCCTTTTTTGCTTCATGCGGCTTATCTTCCGACCGTATAACCGCCATCAAAGCTGATGCCACCCATCTGCCGTTTGAATCGGAAACGTTTGATGCAGTAGTATGCGTAGATTCCTATAACTATTTCGGTCGTGATGAGACCTATCTTGATACCTGTCTGTTACCATTGGTAAAACATGGAGGATATGTTCTGATAGCCATTCCCGGAATGATAACCGATATGCACGACAATCTTCCCCCTGAACTGCTTGCCGCATGGACGCCTGAACAACTGGAATACATTCATGATATACCCTACTGGACTCATCTCTTGACCTCTTCATCTCTTGAAACTGCACGTGTGTTTCTCATGGAGTCGAATGAAGAAGTCTGGGCCGACTGGCTTGCCGAATCCAATGAATATGCTGCAAATGATCGAAAAGCATTTAATGCCGGTGGAGGAAAATATCTCAATTTTATTGCAGGAATCCTTAAAAAGAGATGAGGGAGGGAATAACCGATTCCTTTGAAAAGGAGATAGTCTTCTTTATAAGGAAAGAACGCCTAAAATAATTATTATCAATAATATTTTTTGAGAAATAGACCCCGGAGATAGTTTATTATGAAAGAGATTAA